ATTCAGTCTTACCACTGTATTTTTGTGTCTGCTAGATACTAGTTTTGTCATTTACTGCCATTGGAATTACTGCTTAAATTCATCTTTCCTCAGTTAATGCCCTCTTTTCTGAAGAGTATTGCCACATAATCCCTAGGAAAGTGTCTTAATGGGGGTTTGCTTTTCGATAAAACACCTTGCATGGCAAAGGTTTCATTTCACAGGGAGTTGGTCAGCATTCTTTTATTTAAGATGCACCATTGGGATGCAAGGCTTTTACTTTGAAAGAAGCATTTTGTCAGCAGACGTTGGCATGGTAGTAGATTTTACCCCAGCAGGGATACGGGCCAGTTCAGTGGAGGTCAGAATGGAAATAAAAAATACCTGGTCAAAATTCACCACTGACCGAAGGGGCCCAGCTCCATCACAGTTTAGGTCATCTGTGAATTTGGTCAGTAGCGATTTAGCTTTCCGTCAGTGTGCTGCAAGTAAAGACCACAGCTCTCTTGCTTGAGTACTTGTGGGTCCCCATGTACTCATAGGTTCCCAAGTACGCGAGGACTGGGTTGGGTCCTCCCCTCTCTCACCAGGAGGAGAGAGACAGTGAGCTGTGAAGCACGCACTAAACTGGTTGCTAATCTCCGTGATTTCTCTTTAGGGGAGGCAGCTGAGTGAGCACTTGAACATTTACATCTTTTCCCTGAAGAAACGTGTCCAGGAGTGAACACCTGCGCTATGATCAGACTGTAACACTTGATGTGGAGATTTGCAACTCTTCTGATGTGATAAATAGCTGGAATTAACCTGATTAAAATAACCAAAGAATAGAATAGTCCAGATATCCGAACCACTGCGACAAAGAGCTATGCAGCGAGATGCTTCATCTCAGAAGAAGATCCCCGTCCAGCAGAGAAGCGTTTACCAAGTTGTTCTGCTGCTAATATTTATTCTCTTCACTAATGCCGTGTTACTGCCCTCTCTGGAGCTTTTGTCTTCCTCCTCCTTGCCACTGTGTCCAAAATCCTGGATAAATCCATGCCAGGTTACATGAGATCCTTGGTGGTTTATAACCAGCACTGGTTTTGCCCAGCCTGGTCACCCGTGGGACCCTGGCAGTGCAAACCCTCCCTGTACGTCCTTCCCACTCAGACATCTGTGCCTGCTTCGTTCTCCAGATTCATTTTCTCACAACTCATTTCTTCCATACAGCCTCCTGAAGGGCTTATGCGCATTCAGTCTTTTCCTCACCTCGAATGAATGTGTGAAGAAAAGAGAATGAGCTCAGAAAGCTATGGGTACAGTAAAAGCATTTTTGAAACATATGATTTTTTCCCCCCAGCATTCAGATGCATCTCGGCTGACCTGTATCTGTCAGAAACACAGGCAGGAGTTGGCCTTTATACTTATTTTCTAGGCAGTAACAAGCGTGTTGTTGATATTTCGGTAGCAACAAGCAATATACCCTACAAAGGTAACCAGCTGCGAATAAATTTGGCCAACAAGCCTTTGAAGATTCTCATATTTCACTGCAAAACTAGTTAGCCAAACCTCATCTATGAGTGCAAAACACGACACAAATTATAATTTGCCTGCGTGCTTAAAACAAATTCTTGTGGTTTTAGGCAACAACAACAAATTGAGACAAGAAAAGCTTTTTTTAGCCATTATACATTTGCATGCAGATGTAAACTGCTCACTTCATCTATAATATATGTAGGTTTTCTGCGTGCCTTGGAGGAAGGAGCAAGAATGTGAGTCTCATCTCTTTTCATATGCTGCCCTAGCCAGGGGGCACTTGAAGCAGTAATGAAACAATCTGTCCGCTTTCCCCAAGGTAAGCATTAGACTACACCTCTTGCACAGAGGTACATGACTGACTGCCTGGCACGTTTATTAACTAGTTATCTATCATCTCGTTTGCCAGAAGCAGGGCAGAAGCGCAGCTGCTGACCTGATGAGCCTTAAGTTCACCTTTTCCAGTTCTTAGACCATTTCCCTGCCTGGATCATTTTTTCCCCAGTTAACATACCCTTACATCAGTAGCTGCTCTTAATATTTGCAGCTGAGCACCCACCAGCCATACCTCCGTGAACAGGTTCAATTTAAGTTTGTCCCACCTGTTACAGTAGTTGACTTTACCACAGTGTCAGGTAGGGCTGATTTCCCCCGGCAGCCCTTGCTGTGGGTACCAGGGGACAAACCTGCACTACAACTGCCTGACAGGAGGGTGTAGCCAGGTGGGTTTTGGTGTCTTCTCCCAGGTAACGGGCAATAGGATGAGGGGAAATGGCCTCAAGTTGCACCAGGGCAGGCTTAGGTTGGACGTTATGAAAAATTTCTTCACCAAAAGGGTTGTCAAGCACTGGAACGGGCTGCCCAGGGAAGTGGTCGAGTCCCCATCCCAGGAGGTATTTAAAAGACAGGTAGCTGAGGTGCTTAGGGACATGGTTTAGTGGTGGGATGGCAGGGTTAGGTAAATGGTTGGACTTGATGATCTTAAAGGTTTTTTCCAACCTAAACAATTCTATGATTCTGTGATCAGCTTCCCCTCTTCACAAAGCAGAAATACCACACCGACTTGTAAAGTTGCTTATGGTTTGAAAGTACGCATGTTCCACCTACCAAACAAGCACACTGAGGGTCCCGCCCGCCAAATGGACATAGTGCTCCCGTCACAGTTCAAGCAGCTCAAGGTTCGAGTTAGGCAGAGGACACCGGTCATCCTGTTAATGCTGGTTTGGAGATTTTGCCAAGAGCCCTGTAGGGAAGGGAAGCTCCCACACTCTCCGGCACCCCTGCGGTCCAGCTCCAGTGCTGCAGCTAGAACAGCGAGAGGTATCTTCCAGCCTTCCTCCCCGCCGGTGGGGTGGCCGTGCCCCTGCCCTGCGTGATGCCGAGGGAGCATGGGGTCTCCACCGAGAGGCTTCCTAACTGCCCAAGGACTGTCTTAAAGTAAGGCTGACGGCTGTTTAATGAGGGGTGCTAAAAAAGGCCGTTCTGACTGTGCTTGACGGGGAACGACGAGTTTCATGTAGGCATGCACCCAGCAATCTCGCTGTTTGATGCAGTTAAGTATTACATCTTATACCAGAAACACCTTCACAAAAGTCTCACCTATTTCAACCGTTTGTATTTAACCCATCCATCAAAAGGATCTGGAGGAAGTCCTGAGGAGAAAAAAATAAGAATAAAATGAACAAAAATACTTCTGGATCAAATGTGGTTGTACTGGAGGAACTCTGTGGACAGACTTCCCTTTTCCCTCTCTCTTGCACTTATTTATTAAACAGCTGGACATATGGGTCACAGAAGCAGCACAATTTGATGCACTGTAATGGAGTATTTTGAAATATTTAATTAAAAGAAATGATAAAACTTGAACTGCCACAACCTGCCTGCACTTGTACCTTTCTAAAGAGAAATACAGTATCACTTTTAAAGGAAATTAAGCTCCAGACAGCTTTTTCACATCCTATATGAAGACATGGCAAATAACTTTTTCTTTTTTAAAGCAGCTTGTCACTACAATCTCTATAAAGACAAGTATAAGAACAGATCATGTATTGCACAGTGTATATATTGAATTGTTAGCCATCTTAGATGGCAACTGGTTCAATGAACAGGAATAAAAATGCTTTGTTCATAGGACAGTATGGTGACAGATTTATTTTGCAAAGTCAGATACCGGTATGAAGATGACCTAACAGTCCAAGAACAATTTATTTTGGTCACAACATTGTGGGACAAAGTTTTCAACTATTTGAACTGGAAAATATATTACTTTTTTTTTTATGCTGTTGAGCATTCGCACTAGCCCAAATACACACACACACCCCCCCAAGTCTTCTGAAAACGAGCATTCGCACTAGCCCAAATACACACACACACACACCCCCCCAGGTCTTCTGAAAATCAGCTAAACTAGCACCGCTCTCCCAGGTTTGAGTGCCCGGGTTGGAAATGGGCTCCTCTGGTCCTGGCTTCGTCTCCCCCCCTCTACCAGAAACCTTCCCTAAGTGGGGCTGGGCAGTGGCTCAGCCTCAGCCCCCTAGGGATCCCCGAAAGCAGTGGGACGGCTCAGGCTGACCTGGTGGTGGTGGGACACGACCAGGTGGCTTCAATGCACGGCAGAAAGAGGTCCTGGCTCAAATCCCTGGAGATTTAGCAGCAGCTACTGCAGCAACATTGCTCAAGCTGCAGAAGATCAGAGCTGTGAGAATTACAATGCTGTTTCCTCCTTTTCTTCCAAAACCCTAATATTTTAATCTAAAATGTAGGTGGCCTTTATGTGCTGCTCTGAAGATTCATCCCTGAATACTTGGCCATTGCAACAAAAGTCCATGGGGAGCTTCAGTGCCCTTGCTATAGCACTCTCCTCTCCTCCTGGCTGCTGTGAGTTTTGCTTTTGCTGTATCAAAACCGCAATACAACAAGAGATTTAGAGGTCTGAAATCGGAAAGCATTTACCATAAAGAAGAATGTTCTGTTTACGTGCACATGCATACATGCATTTTCTTTTTTGATTTGTAGAAGGGGATACAGTTGCCGAGCTCTTGGGGAAAAAGATACTACCTATGCACACAGCAAAAGTGAACTTTTTTGTTTAAAGCAGCTGCCTTTTTCTTCCTGCTCCCATATGCAGTCACTAATGAAACAAAAATATGTATTTAAACCAGAAAGTATTCTTTTAGAATGTTTCGAATAGTCTCTAGAGCTAGACAGATTTTAACATATATTTTTTTATTAAATATGTAAAAAGATAAACGCAAGTCAAGTTATTCACATATTCAGACAAAAATCTACTCTACCATGCGACAATTTGTGGATAATGTAAAATGACTGATACATCTGAATAAGACTTTTTGTATCTATTATGCCATTACTTATCGATTTATAATTAACAATACATATGTTTACATTCCTTTCAGTTTACATTTAATATATAACCAAAGCTTTATGGTGTGCTATTTAGTAAAGGTAATTACAAATGCATATTAAAACCATAACGGAATAATGGTCTCCCCTCAGCACAGCCGAATTTCTAGCGCCCTCGAGGTACTTTACTGCCCTGGCTCCCTGGCTCAGTCACTTCCCCCTTAATACAAGCAGTGAGAGGGCTGTGGTCCTCAGACCAGAAATAGGATATAAGGAATTTTCAGGAAATGAAGTTCACCTTTTTAAAAAAATTTTTTTTAAAATGTGCTTCAAAGAGAGAAAAGGAGAGAGGCACAACAGCCTGGCTACGAACCCCCCGGGGAGCTCCGCAACCCAACCGATTGCACCTTCAGAAAAACATTTCCTCTTGAAGTGCTCTCCATGCATCTGCTCGAGCGTTAGCAGAAGGACGAGCTGCAGTAAGCAGAGACTGGCGCGGATGAAATTAAGTTTACAGCCTGATCCCAAACTCCTCGCCCCATCAGAAATCCCACACAGGTTAAAGGACATTCTGGAGACTGGAAAAAAAATTAGTAACTGCTCCTCGGTTCAACAGTATTATGAAGAACTACCATTTATTACAATGACAATTGTAATAAGTACATATGTTCTAATAAACACAAATACAACGAAAATGACAATTCCCCCATTTGTGGTGATTCTTGGAAATACTTATTTTGGAATATACACATTTGTATAAAGCAGACCGTTTTTGTAACCAATGGAAACGGGAAAGGAAAGCGCTGGCCTGCAGGCTGCAGTACGTGCATTTCATCACCGGGTAGGACGTGAGGTCAATGCTGGAGGCAGGGCTGGGAAACCTTCAGCCCGCAGGGGCCAGGAACTCTTCTGCTGAGCAGGGGGAGCAATCAAGGAACTGGAAATACCTGTTCTAATGCTTAACAGTATTTAATATGTTGTCTGTGGTGCAACACGACAGCCGGGATCTCACATTTAACTAAGAGCCACTTAGCTGCAAAAGATTGATGAGGAACAGAAAACGGCGCGTGCATGCGTGCGTGTGTGTGTGCGCGCTGGGGGTTGAGAAATTGAGAAACTCTCATGGAAGCGTAAGCTTGGAACTTAGGCTCTAGGAGCACATGAAGGTCTAGGATGATTTATAGCTGTTCAATAGGCTTTGGAGAGTTTTTCAGTGGCTGCCAATTGGGACGGGACTTCCATGTACCTGCTAAATCAGCACAACACTCCAGAATGAAGAAAATCAAGTGAGAGACCCAAGAATCCCAAGCATTACATACTCAGAGAGACTACAACGCACAGTTTTACGAGAAAAGTAAGGAATGCTTTATACACTTCAAGATACTTCTGTTTATAAAACACCATCATTTCGAACAGGGCGATGGGACCACACTGGAGGGGAACGCTCTCACTGCAGACATCTCCAGGGCAGATGCGGTTCTGCACCCCGCCGGCCTTGCCAGGGGAAGGTCAGCCAAGCGCAGAACCAGCTCCGTGCCCCTCGGTCACCTGGTCCCCCTCTGATGTGTGCTCTGTCTCCAGGAGGACTCCTCACTGCCTCTCCACGCTTTGGAAGCAGCCTCGACACCCGTGAGGTGTCCACCACCCACGTCGGAGTGGAAGTTCATGGCTAGTGCTGTTGCTGGCTTTTCCCCATGCCTCGCACTAGCGAGGAAATTTTCTGTCTTCCATACTTGTATGGCCGGGGCAGCAGAGGGGGGAAGGATAGCAAAAAGAAATGGCTGGCCTACTTTGTCCTCTTCTGAGGGGTGGGAAGCCAAGCATGACGGCAGAGATCGTGTCCTGCAGCTACACTTGTGTCAAGGAGATTTCTCTCCTCTGTTAGCACTGAGCTCTGCGGAGGCAGAGCTGAAGCTGGAAGCTGGGACTGGATTCCTCAGGAAGGAAAAAAAGCTGGGAAATGTCTATTGACTAGTCAGGAAACTGGGAGGCTTTTCAAAAAACTTAAGTGGATGTCTGTTCCTCCAGAAATAAGCCAAAAAACATACCATGCGGCTTTCTAACAAGCTTTCTAACACAGGGGTTTAAATCTCTCCTAGCGAAACAGATGATCTGCCTTCCATTTTGTGAAGGCAGGAAAGGAATAAACGTGAGCAACACGAGCATTTTCCTCCACAACACACCTCGTCGTTATGGCTTGAGTATGACTTCCACTGTATCCCTTTATTCCAATTCTTTGACCGAATTTATGCCCCAAGGCAGATGTACTAGAAAACGCGAAAGCACCACAAAGTGAGAGACACAGCTAGTGGTACGGTACTTCTTGCCACACAAAATGCCAATATAAATATGTTAGAACAAGTTACAAGTGTATCATACTTAAGACAAAAAAGAAAAAAAAATAAATATATATTTGTTTGTTTTTTTTTTTAAAGAGCAGAACAAATCTCAAGCAGCCAAGTGGTGAAGTTGCAGTGATGTACAGTAGGTGATGTAGCCCTACAACCTCTTGGGAAGATACACTGAAAGAAGACGTCTGCAAATGCATCTTGGCAAAATATGGGTACAGAATGCAGTGGTTGGCTGGCACTCACTATGGTACATAAATGTTAATGGCAGACTGGGAGTGAACTGGTTTCAAGTTTGAGGCCACACATGTTCCATTCTCCAGAAGAAAGTTCTCACACAAAACGAAAATTGTCAGAGACGCTGGGTGAGTCAGTACTCCTCCTGCTGCTGGGGCTGTTCATGGACTTGCTCTTCACCTTCATGCTCTTCTGTGTGGCTCTCCTGCAGGGAGAAAAAGACCCCAGAACATTCTTCAGCAGAAAGCATTTCGCATGTAATCTTGCTGCCCCACAGTGCCCATCATAGCCTAAAGCTTAACTTCTAATTTTCATGCACCTAAGTACAAAATGAGCTGAAACCTGAGAAAAGCAGCACCTCGTAATACCACATTAAAATGTATTCACTTTGCTTTTAATGAATGCACATGCAGTGCTGATACTTCTCCAGAAGAAGTGCCAGTTTTCACCATCACTGAGTGTTAGCTGTTCCGGTAAGTGCACATCTGAAGAGCTAGACAGCGAGATGTGATGCTGTATCATAGCATCCTGATGTCCTCCTCCCCCACTTTCAGTTTGTCCAAGGATTTCCGAACCTGTCTGCTATAGTTTTCACACGATCTTCACTCTAGTTTTAGATCACTAAACAGTCAAGACACTTTTGCTATCACCTGCTTTAAAAGTTAAACTCAGCCTCCTTTTTGCAGTCAGATATAGTACTTTCTCAAAGGAATATACCGATGCTAGACCAGAGTTCAAAGGTTACCAAAACAGTGATTTTTAACAGTATCCAGAAAATATAACCAAAGACTCGCAAATGCATTTTCTTTGAAAAAAGGAATTGAGCCCAGTATTCCCTGTTTTACAGAGCTGCTGTTAAAAGCACTATTTACTTGTAAACACTTCTCTTATGTGCAGTATTTTCCAGAGCTGTCTCTCTGAGTACATGTTGCGCCATTGGCAAGAAGAATCCCTGACTGAAAGGAAGGCTGGATCCTCACTGCAGGTGATACCAGTTTTAAACAATTTCCAATTTCGAGACAACACACCTGCTATGTTGAGTTGGCCTGGATGTCTCAGAGCTCAAAAAGACTGGCTGACTCTCAGGGCATTCCTTCTGTATTCCCACTAAGCGCAGCTGCATTTACAGCTTTTCTCTCAAGTGGCTTCCACTTTTCCGGAGCACAGTTCACTGACAAGATCCCACACATCTACTCTCGGTCCTGCATTAGCAGCGCTCCGCTGCAGGCAGCTCCAAAGGAAAACACTTTTCCAAGAGACTGAGCTGCATCCCTGATGTGGTACCTCTGCAGAACTCGCCTGGCTCCTGGCAATTTTTGTTAGAAGCACGAGGCTTGGAACAACAAACTTGAACAAATCGATGCTGCTAACTTTTCAAATCTGAGGCAAAAATTAGCAGCGAAGGGAGGCCATAATTTGAGTTTTCCCAGAACAGTTCAGAGCAGCTTATGCAATAAGAAAGTATTTCCCTTCTGGTAATAAAATATTCGTATTTCTAAAGAGCAGGAACAGAATAAGGTTCCCAACATTTGCTGACACAATGGAAATAGTCAGCTGTTTACCACATACAGAAACAGCCAAATTCCACCAGAAAGCAAGCTTTCTGTCATTCAGGTGCTATCTTCAGGTAGAAGCCACACACGTCAGTCAGAACAACTGCAGTTTAGCACCTTATGGCCCCTTGGGGGGAACGATGCCCTTAGTACATACAGTAGGTACAGCATGTCAAAACAGCTTTTTGCGTAGTATCTAAAAATCACAACTCCTGTGATGGGCTGCAAGGGTGCAAGACTTGCAGAGAACAGGAGTTTTGCAGAGAGAAGCTGACAGCTGTGAGAACGTGACCCTGCCTTATGGGGTGAGAAAACTGAAGCTTATTTAGCTGCTACATTCCCTTAACCCCATCTACCCTGACCCTCCTTATGCGTTGAGGTGACCTGCTCTGGAATTCACCTGTTCCATAGGCTCTATGTATGCAGAGTTTATGAGAGACACGTAGTAGAAAGCCCACTCATGCGATTTTACAGGTCACGTACATGCTATGCTTTCATGCATGTAATAGGAAAAGCCCCTAACCGCAAGGAATGGCTTGGGAACCTGCTCTGCAGCTCTGCAGCCAGGCCTACCTTTGATGGAAATGGTAAATCGTATTTGACAACCTCAGGAGTTGTTCTGAGACTTGGACACGTGCTTCTCAGTATGTACAGCTTGTATAAATACATGAAATGGGAAAGACAAGAGTCACTACGCCCAATTACCTTGGGACTGTGGAATCTCCTTGAATAGCATCCCCTAATAAGGGAAGTAGTGGAAGATCTATTTAGAGCATTTATTTCTGGCTTGGATCACACGATCACGGTCATCTCTGTCTCCCACAATGGGAGGCGCTCTCTTTTGACCCTTCGATCCATCTGCCTCAAACTATTCAGGTGTGCCTGTAGACCGAAGAGCTAGACTTTATGAAAACCAGCTGTTGGGGGTGGGGGGTGAGTGCCTTTTCCAAAAGCAGCAGCGGGTGTAGTAGCTGCTAGAGCAGAAAGATACAAAGCCAACTGCATTTTGAGCAACTGCTTTGGAAACTTGAGCTGAGCAACCAACAGATCAAACGGCAGCAACCCACCCAACTTCTGCATGAACGGAACCTGAACAGCCTAAGCAGAAGCTTTCCTACATTTTTGCTTTATGTGAAGACCTACGTGGCCTGGGTTTCACAACTAGGCACACGACCTCTTCCGTTTCAACAGTCTGAAGGTCTCCTACTGTAAGACCGTCTGACCAAATGCTTCCCATGTTATCCGAGGTCTCAATGCTGTCTATAGCAGTCACAGCATGAGTGCTAGGGGCCACTTCTCCCCACCACCCACATGTAACCTTTTTTAACACCACTCTCTGTCAACTTTTGACATTTTTGATGAAGAAGTAGGATTACAAATGAGCAATTTGTAATTAGAAATTACAAAGGATTGCAGACCGATCAGCCAAACGTTAAGTGACAATAGCAGATACAACACCCTCTTGCATAAGCAGAGACATAATGATGAGGTTTAAAACAGAACCATAACAGGGAAAAGGGAGCCTCTAAAAACAAGGAACCCAAATGGATTGATATTTGTGCTGTAAGACTCAACAAAATCAAAACCAAATAATAATAATAATAAAGGAAATCAGTCTTAAAAATTTAGCCTTTACTGAATTAAACAGAACAGAAGCTTATGAAGTGACATGGTTGAAACGATGCTGTGACTTGGAATTCTGAGAAAAACCCCAATTAACACCCCTCCCCTATGATATGAACCTGATAAAAACCTCTTCAGTACAATACCACAATAATCAAACCTCTGGAGAATGGTTTTTATAGGGACTAAACTCTAAATTTGCATTCTGAATCGTTCTACACACAATTTACCTAAGGGCCTACAATGCTCATGGGGGACCTGTGAACTACTGGGAGATGTGACTACTTAAAAGTGCTGTGCAGATTTTTTTTCTTTTAGGAGGATTAAATTAAGCATAACAGAAAATTAAGTATAAGGGTAGACCTGTCCCTTCTGAATAAGAACAGTTGGTATGAAAAATAGGATGTGATCTCTACGCCACATGGGATACAGTAGATGCCTGTCAAATGCAGCTAGGAAGGAAGACTTTGAGATTGGTATCAAACAGTTATTGGAAGTATGAACTAAAAATAAATCTAAGTGAGTTATGATATTCAAGTAGAAGCCTTTGGTCAGGGATCGCTTGGGCAGTATGTGTGAGCTGCATTACCATGCATCCTCTTCCCTAAAAAAAGCCTCATACCACAGCATCACTTATAACACAAATCCTGAAAATTAATATAACCCTTTTCTTCCACTTTGCCTCTGTATACTTGAGACACTCTGAAACAAAGATTAAAAAAAAAAAAATCTAAGCTGGATTTACGATGAACTCATTATTAAGAAACTAGGAATGCTGGAGTTGCCTGTGGTTTGGGAATCAGGGCTATTTCCCATCTGGGTCTTGGGAAAGCCAAACCGCTGTTACCGAGGGATTAACCTGCAAAATGCTGCAAGATACAGAATTTAACCTGGGACAAATTCATTGCAGAGAGAGAAAAAACAGAGCTGAAGGACAAAGCAGGGCAATGAGACAGCGAAGTCCAAAACCAAAAAGTGGGCAGGCTGCCTCAGCAAGGGAACCACAGTCTTTGGTTCAGTGCTAATACATCGGGGCCTTTCCTCAGCAAATTGCAGTCTGTCTTCTAAGCTGAGGAAGAAATGCACCCTGGAAGAGGAGGAGACCAAGCCTCCCACTAAAAGGTACAAAAAAATTGCGTGGGGAATGGCCTCCGTATTCTCCTCTAGGGGAGCAGTGCTCCCCTGCTGAAGTGACATGCCCGGCCTCCACCTGCAAACCCATTTTAGATAAAGGCATGGTCGTTGTATGTAATTCACGCGCAGGCATGGATGATGCCTTCCACAGAGAAAGGCTTGGTGGGAGGAAGCAGATGAAACACTGGGATGTGGGCTGAAGTAGAACATTTTGTAACGTGTTCTGCCAGTAAGGAAAACTGCAGGAAGAAAAGCAACAAATGCATTCCTTGGCGGGGAATTGCTTGCTATTTAAGCCAACAGACAGACAGATGTGGTAGGGGTATGGGGAAAAGAGGGATTTTTCTGGCTTTGCTTTATAAATAAATCACTGTTCTTGAATCCAGAAGACATTTTCTCTGACCGCTATATATATGTAATTCTTTTAGCCTGTTATCACGTGCCTAGCAAATTTGCCTTATTGTTTATTCCGGTGAAAATAATGGTTTCCTCCTCCTTTTCCTCTCCAGCACTTGCCCCGCACCATTGAACAAATCCTCTTTCCCCTGTCACTTCTCATCTGAGCAGTGGCCCCTGTCAGCAGTAAGCTCATGTCCCTCTTGCACCTAACTTTCATTTATGCTCTACTAGTCTCCTTTAGAAAAGCATGTCAGCTAGTAGCTGCTTCGGCGCTATTTTTGATAAAAAAGCTGCTGCAACAGCTTTCTGGGAACAGCTATAAGACAGCCGACGGTACCACAGTGCTGCTGAGAGATTAAGTTGATGCTTATATGCTCCAGAGCCAAAGCCATCGTCTGCTGGAGACTGAAGGGTCAATCGGCAGTACAGGGCATACAGGGATTTAGTTAACATGAATGGGAGTAGTTCAGCTAAATCTCCACTGAATCATTATCCCTGAATGTACCCGAGGAATTTAACCAGCACCCTTTGCAAGCTTCTTGCTTTGTTCCGTGTCTACAGCACTGAGTCTAAGACGCAATGAGATTCGTGCTTAATCTTGCAGACAATACATTTCTGAAATTTTGGTAATAGAGGATTATTGGGTTTGCACAAGGAAGAACTTTGCCTATAGCAACAGGATAAAAAAATGCTAAAGAGCATTATCTCTGCAGATATAATTATGTATTTGGCAACCTGCACCATACATATTACAACACTGCCACATGGGCTAGGGAAGGTTCACAGCTGTAGACATGAACAGCACCGCTGTCAGAATATCTGTGATTTTCAACACGTTAAAGAACACAAGTAAAAGACTTCATGCAGAAAGGAAGAAGACAAAAACCCCAAAACTAAGGCTTAGAACCATATGAAATCAATTTAAAATTGTGACACACACCCTCCCCTTTCAGATCAACTTCGGCAAACCTAAAATAAAAAACCTACACTGAAGCAGCGAAAAGCAACCAGTCTCCTGAATCCCTTCCCCAAGCTGAAAAGTCTGTTGTTTGCAAATGCAGACTTCCTTTCTGGGGGAGGAGGCATGGAAATCCTAGCTGCTACAGTTCTGCTGACCTAAATATAGGACATGACCCAATACTGTGCCAACAAATTTTTACAAAATTAAGCTGTTTTGTCTAAATAAAAGGCATTAAGCTTGAACTTACATGTTCTTCTGAAGCATAAAGGACTTCCATTAGCCGATTGACAAGGTCATTATTCTCTCTCCCGTGTTCTTGGCAGAGAAGTTCAACCTCCCTTAATTTGCCAAAGTAGAAATCCCTTTCCTTCTCCATGCCTTCAAGTGCAAGTTTTAATGAATGTACCTGCATATAAACCAAGACATCAGTTATGAGGCGCACTATAGACAAAACAACTCAGTCTAACATTATGCATGCTAAACAATCTTAAATACATGTTCAATTTTATAGCTTAAAATGAAGTCTGCTTTTTTTTTCTGAAGTGCTAGATTGAACCTTACACAATAGGGAACAGTAAATCAGGCTCCCCAATTACGCCTCTTGGATACATCTTAACCTTGATCCTTAAAGGTCAATTTTCTCAGTGCTCTTTTATACCGAAACCCAAAGCAGCAGTTCAGGAATCAGGGTTACTTAAGACTTGTCTCCTCACAAAGCTGCCAGAAGTGTCATGTAATGGTGATTAATAAAACTTTCAGCTCAGTACTTGCATTATTTTGCCTGAATTAATGTGTAGTTGTTGGGAAATCTACAATATCTCCTTGCCTAAAAATACAGCAGAGAAGCTCACAAAGGGAAACTGTCTAGTTCGGAAATTAAAAGGTCCTCTAGTTGCAAATGTCAGTACTGCTGTGTTGTTTTTTCACCTCTCCTTTTCTGCCTTGCCACTTACCATATTTTGAGAGACCTGTGTTTCGGCACTCTGATGCCGTGACCGGCTGCACCATGGACTTTCTGCTCTGACTGATGTGCTGTTTCTATCAACAAATTCTCGCAAATGTCGAATATCTTTCTCTTTGCAACCTTGATCACAAGATTCTTCAAGCTATACTGTCAGTCTCAATTTCACCACTAGGACTGCTGCAAATCATTTATGGGCAACATAGCTGTTAATGATTAAGCTTCATATAAATCATGACAGAATTTGCAATATATTGTTATACACAGATATACACACGCACATACATACACACACATTTAAAAAAGAACAATTTTGTGAGAGCATAAGAGAGAAACTACTGTCCAACAGGGTATACACAGCCAGGATAACATCTGTAAGTGGCTCTCAAATTTGGAGGACAGCAGTGTAACAACCAATCCAAATAATCACAGATGAAGCTGCCTACAGTAAACACATTGACCCCAATCACATCCAAATTACAGCCAAATTAGCATCCGCGTTTTAAGGCCTGCAATTATACAAATGATTTTCTAAATAAAACATGCTAAATAAATTAAATCGCATCAGACCACACTTCAGTCAACTGATGCAATTTAATAGAAAGTTCTGTGTTGCCAGTTCTACTACAAGCTAATTTATTTCCTTCACTAGTAAAAATACCAGCAGAGTTCAAACAATGCTATGACAGCCTACTAAATCCTATCGGTTCATTTTTCCGTAACTGCTGAGCTAGCAATGCCTTTTTCTGACCTTTGATTGCACTCTCAGAGGTGTCAGACAGCAGAACTGACCTATTACCAGGGCAAGATTCTCAGAGCATCTCATTCACATACTAACCCATTTCTGACCAGCAGCCTGAGTACGACACCCAAGTCTTCCCTTGACAGTTTGAATCGATGATTGATGCAATGACCAGTCACCTTAAAATTAATTATTTCTTCCTGAAAGCAGGAATAGCAAAATGGAACACTATTTTGGTCTATAGAAGACGACCACACATTTAAGATGTGTCTTCTGGATCTGCAGCAGCATATTCCTTTAGAGCAATGCCTGCATCCAGACAGAACAGGAAAGCAACGGCTTCCAGATCTCTTGCTCTGGGCTTGCTAGAGCTTGGGAAAACAAAGAACTTCAGGTGAAACATTGGCCGATAATAGCTCAGACTGACTCCCCTTCTGACCTATTTATTAGGAAGGCATTCTCCTGTCTTTATTCTACACATTCACTATGTTTTAAGAAACAGAACCATTAAACTATCCATATATGCACACAATTAATTAACTACAGTATACATTAAACACTGTTCTAACCAAACCAGATACGGTTTTCTTCTGTGACATAGCAGCTACTTGCCTGTGACATATTGTTTGTTTTTCTTCAGGTAATTAGCACATCCACATGCTACTTCTTCCTTCTGTTTACGTGCCAGAAGGCTAATCCCGCATGAGGAACAGTGCATGTTAACGCCCATGCTCTGTTTCTGGACCAGAAGTACCCCTCTGCAACCCAGTTAACGGGTGCAAAGGCAACAGTTCCTGCCAACGGGTCTTTTCTCTGAGGGTACTTATTGGTAGCATGAATACCCACAGGACTGCAGAGCCAGGATGGAGATTAAGTCCGCACTGTAGACATGCAGCCAAGATGGTGCTGTTTTCAGAAACTATGTTTATACCTAACATACCATTAACAGCTCCTGGGGCCATTTGCCAGATGTAAAGGTCCCTTCTCTATATTTAATGGTCCCTGGTCTGTGCTGCCTCCCCAAGTGCACTCAGACTCTTTGGTAGTGTACTAGCTGGCACAGACCAAAACCACAGCAGGGACCACTTTAGCATTTTAATGCTATGGGTAATCAAGTTCTAGTGCACAGTGACATTCCTTGGAAGTGTTTAATTTACTAGCACAGACCAAGGCAATAGCTAAGACTCTTTCAAGAGAAACTTTAAGATTGTTGGGAGCTGTTAAACTAGCAAATGTTATGGATGGTTTACGATTATTGCAAATAGCTCATTAAGCAACCCTGTGGTAAAATACAGTGTATGGACAGCCCCACTACTTAATTTTTTCCACTACAAATTGCATGGAAGTTCACATGTTTCAGTCTCCCTTAGCAGCCATCCACGAAAGGACTGGGGGGGGATCTGTTACAGCCACATAGGAATTTGATATCCACAGACACAACATTTCTTACTCATAATCAAGACAGAGAAAGGGTGAAAGTGGCTGCTGTCCTTATCTCCCTGGTTGCTGGAAAGCGGTAAGAAATGGGCAGTTTGGTTCTTCCAGCATGTTCAGACTGGGGGTCAGAAAAAGCTGGCTCAGGGCTGCTTGCAGCATAAGTTTTTTGGCTTGTGTTATATGCCCAGGGTGCACAAGTAAGCATTAGTGGGCAATGAAATACCAAACGCCGCCAGCATTAAAAAAAAGCCTTTCAGACCATTCTAGCTAGAAGAGGTCTCTTAAAAACTAGCTATTAAAACACCAGCTTTCCAAATCCTCAACATTTCTTCTCCTCTTTGGTGATGGGGGAAATAATCAATTTTCCCTCAGGGTTATTTGTATATAAAGCTTAAGGCTTTCACACGTGGAATGTGCTAGGAATACATTAGCAGCAGATGTGATAGCGGCTGCCTATTTTAGTAAAGATCAAATATTTTTATGTTGCTCAGATCCCAACCAACTCCTTCCTCCCGATGCGAACACATTCTGACTTCTGAGTACAAATGTCCGGGTTTAAGTTGCATTACGCTGATGTTTGAACTCTGGTCTTACATTGATTAAAAAAAAAAAAAAAGATTCCATGAAAAATATATACATCCATCCCTTGCGCAACATTTAAAACCTTTTCTGTTACAGCAACAATCAAAAGCCCATTTGGAAGGCTGGTGGACCCGGTTGTGCTCTCTGCTGCTCAGAGAACCCTCATACCCTGAATCTGCAGCACACTGTGTCTGGGATGTGGCTATCCATCCACCACCTTTAAGTGCATAGCAGTAACCAAGAATTTGCAAACAGTGCCTCAACAAACTGAAATCTTTGTTGTTCAGGTCAATGGAAGTCTGAAACTGAAATGCCCTTAATTGTGGAAAATTATACTTAATCCAGAATAACAACTTCTTCCTGAATGCAGCTGCCAGGCAGCTCAGACTCAAAAATACGAGGTTTTTCCTTTCCATTTTCCCTCATCCAGGACAAATACAGGGATCAAGGCCTCATTTACAATAGTGACATTTACACCTTTCTGACAGCGCAGCCTTGAGCCAGATGCAGATATTTATTCATGTCCAGTGCAGACACTCTTACAAGTCCAGGAATGACCGAGTGGTGTAAAGCTCCATAGCATAAGTGCAAATTAAGCCCTTACAATCCTAACATTAAAGAAATTCTGAAGCTTTAATGATTATATTGCAGAACATTATTTATAATATAACTAAGTATTCTCACAGAGGTAGATCACATTTTTAAATGAAAAAGGCGTATTACTTTCTTAGTGCCTTTCTTCCAGAAAGCAGAGTACAATGAGCTAGAATTGATTCAGCTGCCAATCTCTAACACCTTGGTATTACAAACAGGCTTGTTTTCTCCACAATGACACATTAAAATGATTTATTTAAAATTTGTAACACACAAGAGCAAAGACAATATTGGGATTTTTTTCTATCCAAATGAAATGAAAGATACATTTCAACATCTAATAAAATGATCATACTTCAGCAAGACCTACCTGTCATCCCTAAGATCACCTTCTAAAAATACTGGCAAACACCAGTCATCTCCATCAGATGTTATTTTTAACAATAAATCACTCTTTTTTTTCTTCCCAGCTGAGCTATTTCAATCTTTTGTCCTTTCATAATGCTGGAAAGCATCATTCAACAGAGGGCAATATTAGATTTCATGCCTGCCTGTGACAATGAATGCATCTAATTTTATGCCTAAAGCAAATTTACCTGTTCACTGAGCTGTATGACTTGAGTTTCCAAATCTTTATCTGATTTGGATGCTGAGCTGCTTGGTGCAGCTTTTTTTGCTGAAGATGGGCGAGAAGGTGTTGATCCTGGTTTAGAAGCTGGACTGGATTTAGCAGCACCTGAAAAGTACAATAAACAAATAATAATCAAGATTTATCCTCACGACAAATACATTCCTATTAACCTGACACTGAAACAAAAATGCTCATTTTACAGACAGCCATTCTCTCTGTTACTTCAAGATGACAGTGGAAGAAGTTCCAGTGTTGTTATACCTTGGGAAAGAAGAAACCACACTTCCTAGTAGTTTTATTTTAGGTTTACTACTCAAAATGACAGAACTCTGAAAATAAAATCAATAAACATCAGACTAAGAGTATAAAGTTCCCTTAGCTGTCAGCAGCTTTCAGCTCTAAAAAAATACGCCGTTAACAGACCGTTCCCCCAGCCCAATATTGAGTGTAGGTATTTATCTTCAATTTCCATGGAGAAAGACAGACTCGAAATAAACTCAGCTAAACTGCCTCCGTGCTTTCCTCATTTTCAAATGTAAACCATCCCTGAGACAAGGGCATTGAAATTCAGACAGAGCACGCAGAATTAAATCCATCGGTGAACTGGCAGTTGCCATAGTGACCAAGAGATGAGTTTTGATCTGCTTACGTTTTGTTATTTGTTCTTAATTACTTGCACTGCAAATCTGCCAGAATATGGAGCAACATCTCTACCAGCAAAAATGGCAAGTAATGAGGGCACGCCGGCACTCTTCACAAGCCCTGAGGCACACCAGTGCCCAAGCAGAAGAACATTTGCGTGAAAGGGTTTGCAGTGCCTTCAGATGAAGGCCACAGCTAGCTCCTCGCACCTTGCTCTGCCTCTCCATCCTTCCTCTCCTTGTCACTGGCTGTTTGATCTGGTTGCTCAGCCCCACTCAGGACATTAGTGCCTGGCTCACGGCTGTCCAGCTTGCCTGGGTGCCCAGGCAGTCTACCCTGACGCACAGCCTTTGCCTTATTCCTTCTGACTAGGAATACATTTCAGATGCGGCAAACATATATCTGGTACAAAAATCCCTTGGGTTCAGACGACAGAACAAAAACCCAGCCCTCTCTCCAACCTGTTTAATTTATTAAGCAGGCATATGACTAAGAAGTCGTGCTTTGCAGCACCCATGTTTATCCCTATTTCTTACAAAGAGCAAAATACAGCTGTCTGGACACGTGGAGGGGCTCGGTGGTCATCCTCCACCATCAAATGTCGTTGGCTCTGAAGCCCGGGACACACAGGGTGCAGGAGGAAGCCTGTATCCAGCAAGCACCCAGCTCCCAGATGACCTCTGAGCTTGCAGTCACTGATCTGGAGGGATTTGCCCCAGCTTTCTCAGCAGCCACCTCCCACCCCACACCTCCTCAGCTGCTCTTCCCGTACGATTACTTGATTTACGGCACACTACAGATTGCTCCAAGTTGTCATTTCTACAACGTATCCCCAGTGTCAGACAACACTTTATTAAAGCAATTTATTGTAAACGCAATGTTTTACAAAGGCATTACTAGGAAGAAATCGCAAGGAGGCAGGGAAAGGCAGGAGGGGGAGAGAGACAACCTGTGGGGCTGCCCATATGACCCAAGCCTGGAGCTCACGCAGTCTCTCTGACCCAGAACTGTGCACAGTGGTCCCTTGGAGGAGCTGAAAAGTGATGGGAAAGGAGAGCAGCAATAGGTTATTGAATCAAGCTTGCTGAAGCTTTCCTGATGTAGCCACAGGCCTCTCTCTCTGTAACAAGCACCTCCTCTCACCTCTAAGGATAACTCTGGGTTAACTGGGTCATCTAATGCCAAGAGAACGCAAATAGACAACCTGGTAATTCAGTTGACTTGTGTAAACATTTCCGTGCAAGATGCCCATCCTCCTTTTATATGCCCTTTAATATAAGACAGATATGGGTAAAAAAAAAATGTTGGTGGGGTTTTTTTGGGTTTTTTTTAGAAGTTGGTGACTCCAAAGCTTCCATGCATATGCAAACTCACCTCCAGCAGGTTTCAGATACAGTACACAGACTTGCTAAAGTTGGGAAAATTCAATGGTGTATACGTGCCTGAAATTAAACTTCTTTTCGTATCATACTTACATCAGCAAAGAATAAATAATTTGTGGAAAAACATTAAAAATGCCAAGATCCTTTGCTGTTATTTCTTTCTTTAGGCAATTTCATAAACTTTAGCACCCTGCCTTCAATGCTTTCCAGGTTCAGCCCATATTTTGACTAACTAAAAATCAGCTGCTTCAGAGCAGGATTGTTAAGATGCTCTCAAAGCCAGGAAAATCATTTTCATTTGGATCAGCAGATAAACAGAAGAAAACTGGTGTCAAAACAGGCAAGATAAACACGCTCATGAAATAATCACTTTCACTATAGCATTCTAGTTGAGCCTCGAGTTACTGAATGAATACTTGTATTACATGCAACTGCAACAGTTACATATACAACGTTTTAACATAATACACAAGTATACTAAACCAAGGTATCAACATTTATTTCTTATTATGTTCTACACCTGCAAGACGCAGTTCAGGGTATCAACTGAAAATTAAGAGCTATAAAACAAACTATGGACCTTCAGATGGTGAAACCCTGGCTGCAGCTCCCCCCCTCTACCAACCAACCTTCCTCTACTTGAAGGCAGGGCTGGGCTTTTTTAGGCACCACATATATGCACACAAGCACAGGAGAAGCTGTTCAGCTTTTCTTGGGCAACATCCTCCAGCCTGTCAGCTCTTTGCCATTTCTCCTGGGGGCTCATCAGCAGTCCTGGATAACAGAGGAGGTCCTAGATGACTGGAGGTTGGCAAATGTGACGCCTATCTTCAAGAAGGGCCAGAAGGAGGATCCGGGGAGCTATAAAACTGTCAGCCTGACCTAGTACCAGAGAAGGTTATGGAGTGGTTCATCCTGAGTGTGCTCACAAGGCATGTGCAGGACAACCAGGGGATCAGGCCCAGCCAGCATGGGTTCATGAAAGGCAGGTCCTGCCTGACCAACCTGATCATCTTCCATGAGCAGGTGACCCGCCTGGTGGATGAGGGAAAGGCTGTGGATGGTATCTACCTGGACTTCAGTAATGCCTTTGACAACTTTTCCCACAGCATTCTCCTAGAGAAGCTGGCAGCTCATGGCTTGGATGGGCACATTCTTTGCTGGGTAAAAAACTGGCTGGATGGCCAGGCCCAAAGAGTTGTGGTGAATGGAGATAAATCCAGTTGGCGGCTGGTCACAAATGGTGTTGCCCAGGGCTCAGTACTGGGGCCAGTCTTGTTTAATATCTTTATCAATGATCTGGATGAGGGAATCGAGCATGCCTTCAGTAAGTTTGCAGACGACACCAAGTTGGGTGAGAGTGTCGATCTGCTTGAGGGGAGGAGGGTTCTGCAGAGGGACCTGGACAGGCTGGATGGAAGGGCTGAGGCCAGTTGTATGAGGTTCAACAAGGCCAAGTGCCGGGTCCTGCACTTGGGTCACAACAACCCCATGCAATGCTACAGGCTTGGCGAAGAGTGGCTGGAAAGCTGCCTGGCAGAAAAGGACCTGGGGGTACTGGTTGACAGCTGGCTGAATGTGAGCCAGCAGTGTGCCCAGGTGGCCAAGAAGGCCAATGGCAGCCTGGCTTGTATCAGGAATAGTGTGGCCAGTAGGAGTAGGGAAGTGATCATGCCCCTGTAACTCTGCACTGGTGAGGCCGCACCTCGAATACTGGGTTCAGTTTTGGGCGCCTCAGTTCAAGAAGGACATTGAGGTGCTGGAGCATGTCCAGAGAAGGGCAAAGAATCTGGTGAGGGGTCTGGAGCACAAGGCTTATGAGGAGCAGCTGAGGGAACTGGGGTTGTTTAGCCTGGAGAAGAGAAGGCTGAGGGGAGACCCTATCGCCCTCTACAACTGCCTGAAAGGAGGGTGTAGTGAGTTGGGTGTTGGTCTCTTCTCCCAGGTAATGGGCAATAGGATGAGAGGAGATGGCCTCAAGTTGAGCCAGGAGAGGTTTAGATTGGACATTAGGAAAAATTTTTTCATCAAAAGAGTTGTTAAGCATTGGAACGGGCTGCCCAGGGAAGTGGTTAAGTCCTCATCCCTGGAGATATTTAGAAGATGGGTAGGTGAGGCGCTTAGGGACATGGTTTAGTGGTGGGATGGCAGGGTTAGGTTAACGGTTGGACTCAACGATCTTAAAGGTCTTTTGCAACCTAAACGATTCTGTGATTCTATGATTCTGTGGTGCAAGACCTCAGCCAGGCACGCTGTGCAGCCACGGCACACTGCTCCCTTTCATGTGCAAGCCCTGTGAAGAGAGCTAGTTCTTTGTAGATTGGGGTACTTATCACAGAAAGCCAAATCATTATGTACGCACCTCTTTTTAACCTGCAGCGAGACTTAAGGACAGAGCAGGCACAAACATTTCATCCCCAGGTATTCTCTCTAATTTGCAGCTGAGGCACCCTCCCAGAGCACGCTGAGCATCACCACCGTCTGTGGACAGAGAGGGCTGGGTAGCACCAATACACTGCATTATATTCTGCCCTCCTTTGAAAACAACAAAGCCTTTTGAATTTCCACAGCAAAGTGTTACTAAGCCTTATAAAGTCCAGAGAAATCAAAAGAAATCGACTCTGCTGCTCACGATCAGCTCCAAAATGAACAAGATATTCCAACTTCAGTAACACAGATAAAAACCAGCCAAATAACCTGAGCATTTCAGACGTTATCAGCGACAGCTGGATAGAACTTAATTGCAACAGAAAATGCCTAGGGGGTTCTCATTTAAGATTTCCTGGAGGAAAAAAAAAAAAAAAGCTTTACTGCTCATTTATTCTGAAACATCAGTTTTAGAATCAGCTCAGAGGTAAGCCTCCCATTTCTAACAGAAGCTTAATTTCGTAAAAGAATTAAAGGATGCTGGTTGGCAGAGTAGTGCAAAGTACTTGAGACAGCCAGATATCTAAATGGAGATGAAAGACCTTGGTAGACTTAATGACTTTGCTATTGAGCACCACAATGGCTTTGCAGTCAATTAGCACAAGTGTGGAATAACTCCTAATGCGTTGCTCAGAGGGGCTATATAATCCAAAG